CACCCATCACCGAAAATCATTTGTTCAATTTGGGTGATCGATGGTAACGGAGGCGGAGACTGCAATGAACGACGAAATTTGGAAGTGGATTCCTCGTCCCAGTCTGCGGTGGCCTGCGCCGTCCTCGCCTGAATCGGAGGGCTCGTGAGTCTTTCGACAATTTCAACCACCTTCGGACGCATATCAGGCGTCTCGTTCCAGCAGTCTTGAAGTAAATGCCAGAGATAATCCAACGCTGCTGCTCCTGACCAGGAGAAGGGCCTTGAAGGTCTCTGCCCCCCCATAACCTTGAGCATGACAGCCATGTCATTTGAGACTTCATGAAATGGAACCTTTCCTGTCATTATCTAGTCGTGTTATCCCTCGTGCTTTCGTAACATGAAAGAGAAGGCGGACACACCTCATAGCAAACACAAGCGAAGGCATAAATGTCTGAACCAAAATGGTTCGGGGTTTCATCTCGGAATAACTCAGGCGCTTGATAACGTGCGGTACCGCCTCGTCCACCTTCCGCAGTTGAATGCGTAAATCGAAATGTCATGGGATTCGTAATGGAGGAGAGGCCGAAATCGGCAATGCACGCCCTATCCGAAGGACTTACGAGGATGTTGATCTAAGACTGGGTGAGAAAGACATTTGATTTACAGTATGTCAAACACCCACCGCCTTTAGGTCTCCGTGTACCACACTATTCTCATGCAAATATTTGAGTCCAAGTGCGACGTCCAAAATCTACCAACAAATTTCAATAACGAAATTTGTTGGTTGAACAATCCACTTACGAGAGAGAGACGGCCGATGTGGGCTGGTTTGTTTTTGAGATACACTAGGATGTTACCTTTTTCCATCCAGGGCGAAACCAGACAGAGCTTCTTGTCCAGAAAATACAGGCCGAAGAAGGGCAGCAGGTTTGGGTGACAAAGCTGGCGCCAAATGAGTGCTTCTTTGCTGAATTCCTGTATAAATTGATGGGTAAGGATGACATATCGCAATTGAATGCAAACCTTCAGTAAGGCTACAATATCTGATGTCTGGAATAGCCGCATAACTTTGATGGAGACGTCTTTCCCGCGGACTGATCCTTTCCAAAGATCGCTAAAGTTCCCAGCGGCCACTTGTTCCCCAACTTTCTTTAGGTCGGCAATCGGAAAGCATCGGGGGTGCCGCCCAGAGACTCGAGAAAGCCTCAACAGGGCACGGAGAAGAAAGGGCCTCATAGATGCCGCGGAAGAGCCAGAATCCAACAGCTAGCGACCCGCGTGTTAGCAAGGTGTATTCTGACTGGGAATCGACCAACTCACATCTTGCAAGAGGTCCAGAAGATGCTGAGCAGAAATGTCACGACGGGATAAAAACCGTCTGTAGGTCATTGAATCACTGAGTAGGCCAACAAGCTTCGTGCATAGGTCTTTCCGCATATCCTCAAAAGGGTCACTTGAGGGGCTGACGGACAGGGTGCCTAATTCTGGCGGAATTTCAGCATGCATGCTGAAGGAGCGATGGAAGCGGAACAATCCCGGTCCGCAGAACGCATCACCAATGTGAGAGTCCGGTCTGCTCGAAATGAAGAAGCGCAGAGGAACATTGTCCGCGCAGCGGGTTACATTGGCAATTGAATGCAATATCTCCAGCTGAACATTTTCGTCTTGACATTCATCCAATCCGTCGATGATAACGACTAGAGTATCACGAGAAATAGCTTTGAGGCAGGGCTCGATGATCAAGCTCTGCAGCTGAACAGAGAGAGATCTATGCAAGAGGGATGGATTTTCCTGAACCGCATGCAAAATGGCGTTGTTCAAGGCAGGGTTGCCTTTCCGCAGGGAAAGCTGATACGCGATCGTCACAAATAGCTTATTGCCATTTCCGCGAGACAGATGTCCTTGTTTGAAGAAGAAGCTCCCACCAAGACGACCCTCTGCTTCGATCTTGTCGCACAAAGCTTGAGCAATCGCCGATTTCCCTGCACCAGCTCGTCCATAGAGCCACAGCACCTGGCTTTTATGGTCGTCCTCAGAGGACCAACTATAGATGTCCTCGAGGAGTTCTATCTGTTCATTGTGATGGCATTGAGGGTGTGGGGATCTCTCTGCGGAGTCGTGGAATGCATCGTGAGCTGCTGCTTGATGTAATTTGTCGAGGCCTTGCAATCGGGTGCTCATAAGTAGGCTATGTTTAGAGCAGAACAACTGCTCACCGGCATATACAGTGGCGTCTTTGAAAGTGGATATTGCATCTTTCTCCGAAATTCAGTGAGAAATTGCAGAAATATAAATTGGAGGAATTCACGGTCGTAGTATTCCCTACGGTCGCGGGAAATATGGCGGACGGATCTGGCTATATCTGATTTCCCAACACATTAGTCTTGTTCGAGTTTGTTTTGAGCCTGCCTTACAGCCAAGATCTACTCGCTGTCGCTCTGTGATATCCTTGACGGTCAGAGCGATATCTGATTCCGCAATATAAGTCAGCATAATCGCTCTCTCATGTCTGCGGTGAGCCTGCCTTCGGCGGAATTCCTGATGCGAGTGAGCAGGGGATCAGGCCAAAAGTTGAGAAGACCAACCAGATATCCATCCCCAACCAGGCATTGAGAAGACTTTTGAACAGCTCGATGGTGTCCAATCCTTCTTGAATGTCTTCCTTCCCCCACAGCGGCCAAGTCAAGCGACCAGAAACCCTCGAAATGCCGTTTGAGTTCAGCTTCTTCGTGAAACGCTCCATCGTCCCCTTCAACTGAATCAGCGGTTCCTCAAACCCCTGCATGCCGCTGATCAACCCTGAAGCCTGGTTTTCCTTGATTCGCTTGTCGAGTTCCCTGATCAGCGGTTCAAGGTTTTCGATCTCCAGAAGCAGCCGCAGCTGATCTTTGGGCGCATTGCGGAATTCCTGAATGTAGTCGCGAGCTTTCACTACCGTGTCGACGAGCTGGAGGACGCAAGCGATGAGGCTGATGAGTTCTGCCATGAGGGATAAGGACAGGATCTGTGAGGAAAAGCTGTACAAAGCAGCTGTTCTGATCAACGAATCACCAGGAGGAATGAAGTATGTAATTGTATTCCATCTTATTGTTGGGTTTCTCAGGCCGGAAAGCAAGGCATTGGGACTTGGGAAGACCCTCGAGCACATTTTATTGCCAAAGATGCGCTTTCAACAGGTGAAGAGCGGGGCAATTTTGTGCTCATGAATTATACGTGAAAACCTGGAATAAATGATATTTCAATAAAACAATATCAAGAACATGACTTGCCGAGGTCTCGGCAAGCAGCGGGGAACTTGGGACAATAAACAAGGATGACATGGCGACGTAAATCAACAAAAGCGACGGCGCCACTCACCTGTGCGCGAAAGGAACTGGACGACGGTGGCGTGAACGGGGATCAAAAGTGCCATGAGCGGTCACGTGATGATATAACTTCTCGCGTTTCGGGATCAAACACGTCTCAGACGCAGCAGTGGATTTGTTTCAACATGGAGTAACATGCAACAGAAGGCCAGAGGAGAGGAACGAGGCCAGGTACTGCCCCAGAGCCAAGGGGATAGGCATGAAATGCACTGGTTCAACGGTACCATTGAGACTATCGCTAGGGTGTGGATGATACGTGGCCAGGGGAGCACTGAAACTTGACAACAGGATGTTTCAGGACCCTAATTTGCAGCAGTTGTATTGTGTTTGGAATGTACAAACAATTAGGGTATATAAGGAGCATGAAATGTAGTAGAATAGGACAATTTACGCCCAGGTTTACAACCTGTGATTTGCTGGCTCTTTCGCTTGATTCAACGGAACGGATTTATACGGGAACGGAACGGGTTATCAGTTGGATTGACGTTGGGATATATTGGACGGGACTTCAGCTATTTTGATTCACAAACCACACACTACACTTTATTTCATCTTCGCATTCGTGGTTTCCTGCCACGCGAACCCCGAACACAACAAAGTCTTTGAATTTGGGATTAGTTGATTGAACCTTTGGATAAAGGTTTCATTGACGCACCAGTTTCATACCTTTCACAGGAAAGCGACTCGGCCGAATTTCAAAGTCTCAGACGCCCAAGACAAAGGAAATAAAACGAAATTATTGGGTATGTGCTATACATATCCATTGTGCAACGTGTGAGGGATGCTGTCTGATATGTGGGCGTCTACAGAGAAGGCAGCACTGCAGCCACGCGCACGCAGCCCGGATTCCATCTCTCAGGGTGTCCGAAGACTTTAAACTCCGCTTATGGCTCATCGACCCCAGCACTTCGGAACATCAGCCCCAGAACTTCGGAAAGATGACGGACCGCTTGCGGCCTTTTCACTTCACTGCTTTTCAAATCTTGACAAAAAAGGCTTAGCGCGTGCCGAATCAATTAAACAATTGAAGGTCAGGGGTGAAGCCGGTTGGGGATAACCCCGCTATCAGATCGTGTATCAATACCACCAAAACCAGCACGAGGCACACCTGTGCTCAACGGCGAGCTCGAGGATGGCGGTGGCGACAAGGATGAGACGGAACCCCTCAAACAGGCATTATGCAGGAATCTGCGGAAACGAGAACACGGGAATGAATTGAATTTCCCACCTGGGTGGGATTCATGAGAGCCAGGTTTGAATTCTACGAGGCAACGGTGCACCATGCAGTATGTGGACTGAGGTGATTGGAAGAAAACCGGTGCGTCTACAAGGCGACAGCGCACCAAGCAAATGGCGGTGGGAGTTCCAGAGTGGGTGGAAGACAAGAGGGTCCTACAAGGCGCAAGCACACCACACAGTACGTGGATTGAAGTTTGGCAGGTGGCTGGAAGAAAACCAGTGTGTCTACAAGGTGACAGCGCACCAAGCAAATAGCAGTGGGAGTTCCAGAGCAGGTGGAAGACAAGAGAGTCCTACAAGGTGCAAGTGCACCAAGCAGGTGGTGGACTTGAAAGAACTTGAGGGATGATCACGGGATTTATTGATGCTGCAAAATAATTAATTTAAAAAAAAATGAAAATGACAGATAAACTTACAGTCTCGCAGGGAGTTGAACCCTGGTTTTCGGAATAACACTCTCCATTGAAGTAGGATCATCTGATGTTCTAACCACTGAGCTACGAGACCTTGAAAGAAATGGATGAGCTTTAGGGAGTTGATTATCTTGGGACCGAGATAATCTGAGGATGAAGAAAATGGAAGAAAAATTCAGTCTTGCAGGGACTCGAACCCTGATTTTCGGATGACGCAGACACTGGAATAATAAGAGCATCCAACACTCTAACCACTAAGCTACAAGACCATTAAAGAAATGGATGAGCTTTAGGGAGTTGATTATCTCGGGACCGACTCGGAGATAATCTGATGATGAAGAAAATGGAAGAAAAATTCAGTCTCGCAGGGAGTCGAACCCTGGTTTTCGGATGACACAGACACTGGAATAATAAGAGCATCCAACCCTCTAACTGCTGAGCTACGAGACCATTAAGGAAATGGATGAGCTTTAAGACCGAGATGGGAGTTGCTTATCTCGGGACTGAGATAATCTGATGATTAATTGGTGTCACATGGTCAAAGTTTGAAGTCCATCTTTCTTCTTACCACCACCACCACAAACTGCTGGAGTGTATTGCCCCAGCAGTTTTCTCCTACTCTCCTGCCCTCTGTTGTGGCCTGCTGGGTGCTTTTTGCCCAGTAGAATAGTAGGATGTGACTTGAAACGCAGGTTCAGCTCTGCCTCTGTCCAGCGATAATCACAGGGCAGATGTATTTGGAATAGATGGGGTGTGGTTGACTTGTGGCAACGACAATGTTCTGTCTGCTTGAAAGTGTTCGAGTGAGAACGAGTGCTGAGTGTTATCTTGGAGGTGGTAGACTTATGACAGGAGTTGGGGTGTGCCATTGCCCCCACATGAGGATATTTGTTTGATCTGTCTGGCTTTGTCTAAATTCTGCTGAACATACACAGTAGCTCTTGTCTTTAAACCACTACCACCCAGAGTAGAGATACCTGTGGCCAAGTCACAGAAGAAGTCGCCCTGTAAGTCCTTGACCACTCTGTTCATGTCTTTACCAATGTTTCCTAGTGGGACCGGCGTCAACCACAAAAGCCGCGGCCAAGACCAAGAGCGCAACGACCTCAAGTCGCGAGAAGGATGGCTCATCTGTTCCCAAGATGGCACGTCTCTCCTTACCCACATGGAACACGCGTATTCACTGATCTTGTCATGATTCGACATGCCTTCGACTTTTCTCACCCTGTCAAAGATTAGACCCTGGACACCCTGGGTTATCGAAACAACAATACTGGGCAAATAACTGAACATATTTGCAACCAACAACAAGACGACCCAGGGCTTGTCTTGATAGATCTTCTAGTCCAATGAGCTTTGACTTGGTCGAACAATGGGTGGAGTAAGTCACGACTCAATGTATCCTATTGGCTCTAATGCATTCTTCCACAGAGGCATTGAAGCGCAAGGTGTAGGATGATCATCAAGATGAGGATGAGGATCTTCCCCCCAACAAGAAGGTCAAGAATATACTTGAAGACACGAGTGAGTCTATAATTATTATGTTTAAAACACTAGCCTGACACACGATTTATAGGCAACATTGGTGAGTCATTTGCTCATCTAGCCAAAGCACATTACTGACATCTTGCAGCTAGTCATCCTGTCTCCCAAGATAGATGGCAGAAGCGCACTCAGAAATCAACCATGTCACAGTTGCTGTGCAAGGGAGACGTGATATACAAGAACCCTCCTACACCGGCAGTGAAACCGACTATACCAACAGATGTTCCCGACAACGATCAAGCCCCCCCCCTCTGAGGAACCAAAGGTTTTGCACACGATGGTCACATTCTCCAGTGGAATTAACTTGGCCTTCAATAGGGAGGAGGCTGCAGACCACACCTGTAATCTTTTCTTTTCTTCTTTGTTTGCTGACTACTGGTACAACCAGACCAGGGACCGCCAGTCAATCACGACCGACGGTCCAGAACCCTCTTACCAAGAGTCGACTTTGAAAACATCGACAATGGGGCTGCAGCCTGGTTCCGGATATAGGAGTCACATCCCAGCAATTCCCGTGATATGATGGAAAGAAGAGGTATTGAATCTATAATTCGGTCGTAAGAAACCACGAATGTTCAATCTGCGTTGAAACGCCATGCGCGAGTGCGCTGAAAATTTCTGGCATATTACCAACAACTTGCATTCGCGTTGGGTGCGGACTGATGGACAGACCAAACGTTTCTCCGGAATTCGGACTGATCACTTGGTAACCAAACATGCCACCACGCGACCGTGTCCTCGGTCGCATTCCCTCTTCCACTCTCGCCCCTCTTTAATTGTTTATTTAATTTTGCCTGAATTCTCTGGCCATCTGAAAGTTTCCTTAATTTTTTTATTTACGAATCCTTTCCCGCTTTCACAGCGCATTGAACCGCGCCTGTTCTTCGGGTCTTCCCGCACCTCGCTGGCTATTATCTGTCTCAATACGGTGTTAACCTCGCGACCGCCGAAGGAAGCCCTTCGACAATGCACACAGCTTGAAATTTGCACTCACGGACCTTGGATTCCAAAACTTCTTTGTGGCAGTTTGCGGATCTGTCAAGTAGGCGGATATCTTTCCATTCTACATCCTGACTTCCGCGCGGAATGACAACAAGAGTGATGAAGAGGCTATGTTTTCTGGAATGGTGCACTGCCTTGGTGAAATATGGAAGTTGCCGTGGAGGGTATAAAAGTCAGCCGCGTGCACGGTTATGGCTTACCCTCTTCTCTCTTGACTCCCACCATCCCTAAGGTGTGCTCCTTCCTGCTCCTTCTCCATTGCTTTCTTCCATTGCTGACCACCATTCTTCAGGCCGCTCATTGCCCATGAGGTACGCTGCAGTCGCTCCCCGCTTCACTCTCACCTTCCTTTTGCAGGCCGCCAACATCGACCTCGACTTCGACTTCTACAACCGATTGGCCGGCATATGACGACCGCGCGATCGTCGCCTGCAGCGAGAGCACAACTTGGAGTGCGTGCTTCGACCGCTGTAGGTGATGGAGCACCGTGCTGTGCTTTGGAGCCGGCAAGGGACGGGCGGCCGATGGCTTGCAGGAGGCACTAAAACTGTGACTGCTTGTCCAGATGCTGGCGCCGAAACTGAGCCGAAGGCACGCCGCCTTCGACTTCTCGTACGTTTTCCTCTTGCTCTTATTGTCGTCTCGCGCTGATTTCTTCTCTCTGTTCTTCAAGTATCATGGGGAGCGTTACAGAGGGATTCCCGTTTAATTACCTTTCTCTAAACCCTTTTACACCTTCGTAGATAGTTTCCCGGGGGATGGGCTCGCATTCCTTCGCACCTCCTTGTCATTGGACCCCTGGGCTTACGACTCTCGAGAGTTTACCAAGAGTGCGAAAATTGCTCCTTATGTACCTACAACCAATAAAATTATTTCTGGCTTATTCATTTTTCGCTGAGTTCCGTTCAATATTAACCAAATTAATCCCGTGTGACTTCTTGACTGCCAAGAATCTATTTGGAACCTTACATACGACGCGACGCGTTGTAAACGCGTATTTGGTCGATGCACATCCCCATCTAACCTGATCTCTTTTTCCTCTACCGTCACCTTCGAACTACGCAACAATGGTTCCGAATGCCAGCTTGGAAGAAATTATAGCATTCTATTACCAGCCAATCACTTCAAAATCGGACCTGCTTCGGTGCGTGTCGGAATGTAATCAGGAAATCTATTTCCCCCGCCATTCCCTGTCCCTTGGCTTCCAGCGGTTAAAGTTTCTGTGGGTGCGTATAGCCGAACTGTAATACCTTGGTGATACCAATCTGGCAATCGAAGCAGTGCAAGGACAAGGCGGCGCGAGAGATCTACATGCAGTCACAGCCTCGCTCGCGCTCTTCTCGTCCAGGCCCATCTATCTCTAAGTCCTCGTCCTCAAATGCTTCGTCTGGATCCAGACGTGCTCTTGTACATCTTGACTCTTTCCGACATTTACACCATCATTTCCCTTTATCAGGTGCATCTCCCTCCGCTCCCCGGGATTTGTTGCTTGTGCTTATCACATATTGCAGGTGAACAAATTTCTCCACGCAATCACGACTACAAAGCACTCATGAATCTCAGTCGTCCGCGATCTATCGTCCCGGTGGATGATTGACCACCCCGCAGAGATCCTGGCGACGTTCGAGACAGAGGTCATCATGGCGGAGGTCAAACGCGCAATATGCGGCCCACAGACATGGTCCAAGAGGCAGAAGTCACCACCGACGATTTCTCGGCGGGTAGGTCTACCTGCGATGATGCACCGCCATCTATATAGCGAGTTCCTCCCCGGGGGAAGGCACGTACTCGTCTACAGCTGGTACGCCGATGGGGACCTTCCCGCCACACGTTTGACGTGTTGGGATGTCCACTTCTCGCGGCGTGTATGGGAGCGGTCTCAACGCGGCTATGTAACCTCCGTGTCGTTTGATTTCGTGAACCATGGGGAGGTGTAATGTCTCTGCTGCACTAGTCTGTTTTCCTCGATTTCAATCTAAAAGGCCATTTTATTGATTTTCTATCCTTAGATACGGGCAACACTACGACATCACCTTAGTCGAAGTCAATCTGTTCACGGGGGTCTCGTGTGAGCTCTTCCATTTCCGCATCGGAAATCCGGCTTGGTTACGGGTACATGTTTGCGGAGATTATGTCGCATGGGACACCGTAGCGAATCCGACAGAGGCTATGAGCCAAAAACCAGTCGCGTTGGTAAATTGGCGCTCCCGGGAGTTTATTATATTTGACGCCCTAGCCAATAGGGTAGGACCATTTATTCTTTCACACTGTTGATATTCACGATCATCCACAGCCGGCCTTCGCGCTTTTCCCTGGACATTTCATACTTGCCTACCCCACATCTTTTGGTTTCTCCGCCGCGACTCTCCACCTCTTCTCCATCTCCTCGTTATCCCACCGCTGGAAGCCGCTCGATAAATTTGGCTTCAGTACTATCATTCACCCGATGCGCGTTGAATCGACCACTTTCAATGTTACCGGTAGCAACGATGATGATAGCACTTGCATTAATCGCCAGGCCCGGCTGTTCATTGCGGAGAGCCGGCTGCACTCAGCGACCCACGAGCTTGTGGTTCTCGTCGTGGATCACCATTCTCCGAAACCTCGGGACCCCTCTCTGGTGGACCGAATATGGAGTCGAATCTCCGGGAACCGCGACCCTCTTGAAATGAAGAATAATATAGTAGCCCGGTACAACATTGCACTCCCCAACGATACCGGATCACTCCCCCAGCCCACCCTGGTTTCTCTTTTACGGAACTCAACGACCTGTTCGTTATTCAGCTTGTATTCCGGCGGGCTCTGTTGTGATGCGTCTCTCCACCGGGCTGACCCATTTCATTGGGGAAAGCTCGCCGTTTACGGAATAGACGAGATGGGCATGGAGGATCCTGTCATGGTGC